AACTGGCTCATAACTTTTTGAAGAGGGATAAGGAAATTCTTTGCTCTAATTTTCCCTGTTTTTATTTTTAGATTTGTAAATATTAATTAGAATGGTCAGATAAGTGTTTAATTATTTATTCTCCCTTACCTTGGAAGCACAATGATCACTAGCATTTGTCTACTTATGAAGCATATCACAAAGTTTGCTACACAAATATCCTAAAAGCTCAAATAATATTATCATACGGCGTTTTAGAAAAATAATATGACTAGATTTCTGTTACAAAATATTACATGGTGAAGATTTTCCTTTTGAATAACTGTCTGGATAAGAGTACTGTAGATCCTTTCTGTCATTAGAACTATGTTGCTTAACTTGTGATTTGGAAATTTAATTGAGGATATCAATGTAATATGACTGTGTGAGAATTTATGTGATCGATTTCACCATCTTCAGAGTCTCCAGTGCTACTTCCCCTTTTATGTTCATGTCCTCATTTTTAATAATTTCAAAGCACCTTCTTCTGTCAGTTTGAACCTTTTAACCATTATGAGATGATAAACTCTGGCAGCAAATGTACTGTATCCTGCATTATTCTATAACTGCTTGTAAGAGATTATGATAATTGTGGGCAGCACAGTAAAAATGCTGTATAACATTACTAAATGTATTTCATAATCCCATGAATTTATTGCATCATCTTTGCGGGTCAGTCATTTAGTAGAATTATATATAATATAAATATTTTAAGGGCACATAAAAAAGGAAAAGGTAAATTTTAATATATTTTATTTGATATAAAATGTTATCTTTGCAGCATAATTATAACGCTCATAAAGTTGTTATACTCCACATACAAATTATGTTATAATCCACATAATAATTGTCAGGAAACTATTTTACATTGTGTTTTTATTTGAATTCTCTGAAATCAAATGTATATCTTGCACTTAGAGGACGTCTCAGTTTTGACTAGTCCTATGTAACTGTTCAGTTGTTATATCAGGAAAATTTGGGTAATCTCATCTTTGTTTTATTTTTTAAAAGTCTTGTTGGCTCACTGTGACTGATAAATAAGGATAAAATAATTCCTGGAGTGGTTAAAAAAAGTGAAAATGTCTCAAGATGTAGAAAAACAATATCATTAGTTATCTTTAATGTATTTTTGATTCGTAAAAGGGCTTAATAGATCCTATGATAGTTGGTAGGAGTAAACTTATTCTAGATTTAAAGGAGTAGTTTTTTCCCTTGTATTTCAGAAGATCTATAAGAGAGAATAAAAGTCATGAAATACCAACACATACAAACTGTATGGTGTCAAAGAATAAATAAATCAAAGAGCAAAATACAAGACAATGTGAGAGATGGAAGTAGATCTTTGGCAAATGGAAAGGGAGATGAAGGGAGAGAGGGAAAGGGGAAGGGAATGTAAAGAGAAATAGGATGTGCCGGGTGTATGTACCAACTCCTCACAGTGAGTGTATTCACAGTGTACTAGAAACATGCACGAATGAAATTTAAAAATTAAAAATCCTAAAATTGAGTCCATAGATCGGTGGTGATATACCAAGGGTTAGTCATTCTCATAGTTCTTTGGTTTTGTTGTCTATCTCCTACTGGCAACATTGTACTGTACCAATCATTTAATTTTGGGGAGTCTATCACTTAGATTTCAAAAAAGATCCTATATTTCTGTTATAGAATTCATCTACTTTGCCTATGATGTCTTCATCATGTGATTATATCTATAAACAGGAAAACAAATTAAAATCTATAAATATTACATATACAATGCAGCACACATTATATATATATATATATATATATATATATAGTGGTATTTAAATAACACACACACACACACATATATATATATGAGATGTAATCAAAATATGTGGTAAAAATTTAAATGATAAATTTATTTCAATAAAGGACTGATTGCCAATAAGTCCCCTCAAAATGCACCTCTTTCCTTTGAAACCACTTATGCTACCATTTTTGCAACTTTCCTAAGCAGTTCTGGGATTCCTCTTTCTTGAATGTCTTCACAAGGTATGATTAGAAATGCAGTGACTGCTAGTGCCCAGTGCCATCCAATGGAAAGCAGGCTTGTGGGCACATCACCTTGTGTCTTCATCCACCTTATCCCCAGATGTGGCACCGTGTGACTTCAGGCTTTCACCCAAAGTCAAAATGACCAGGAAAGATAAAGTTTTATTTGATTCAGGACATTAAGTCAGCTATGACAATGAAACTAAAGATATATTCTCCATGATTCTGGCCACGAAGCAAACTGTATGAGAACCAAAGCAAATTTCCCCAATAAGGTCAACATTGGACCTAACCATTGAACTTGATTTATCACTGAACTCAGTTTACAACCAGAACCATGGACAGAATCAAGTTTGTGAACTGAGGCACCACTGTATCTGTGTGTATGAACATATAACATATAAATGTATTTGGAACTGTGCGATGCTTATTTCAGAGTCTTCTCCTCTTCTTTGATGCTATAAACTAGGCCAAACATTGGAAAAGACACACACACACATCAACACAATTTCTCAACACGTTTTATTAATTTTAACAATTTTATTGCATATCTTGGCAAATAAGTGGCTTATAGAATTGCCTCTGGCTCTCTAAAAGCCCATACATAAAAATAACAAAAGACAAGCAACCATAGCTTTAAAAAAAAAGCATTACATCTATAAGAAACTTTTGAAAACATGAATAAGCATATAAAACTGTCATTTGCTTAATTTTTGTACAATTATAAAAAATAATAAAAAACCCCACATTTCTTTAGTATTCAACATTTCTAAGTACTATATTTTAGGGGAATACAAACAAAACAAAAGGTAAGTTGATTCAATAAAGAGAATTCCTCTGTCTATTTCTGTCCGTAACTTTCTGCAAACAACACCCATATTATTCTTCAGGTAGCTCCATGGAAGATACAGAACTCCATGGACCACATTCCCAGCTGTCTGCTCTCAGTATTTTTGCTTCCTTGTCCTGGCTACTCTTACATTCAAGGAGTGGAAGTTGCCACTGGACATGTGGCCTTCTATGGCTAAAATCAAATTCTTGAGATACTGGACAGGAATTTTTGAGTCCCTAGTGCCACTTGAATAGTGCTGAGATCGTTCAGAAGTCCTGGGTTTATTCAAACACTCAGGACAATAGAAGAAGCTATTTGTCCCCGCTCCGATGACCAAGACACAGCTTTGGACTTTCTTCTAGTGACTTTTCAAAGCTGCACTCTAGTTTCAGAAATGAACAGTGCTTACAATCATTTAAGCACAATAAAACGTTGAAATCAAGGACTCACTTTCTTTATCACACATACACACATACACACGTACAAACACAATAAAAAAACAAGTGTTCCTTTCCCCGATCTGACAATCACTGCTATGTTTCTTAGCTGACTGTAAAGTCTTCTCAAGTTGCACATCCACAAAAATAGAAAAACAGTACAAAAAAAGCTTTTCATCTATCGTTCTGGAAAATCTATAATCCAAGAAGAAAAAAGGTATACAATTTCACAGGCAAAATATATATACAATTTGTGATGAGCTTCCTAAAATTACATGTGACAGCCACATGAGCCCTTTTGCACTTTTAAAATGGAAGCTTATGTGCAATGAAAGATCTTGATTAACATGCATGGGAAAATTTTAGACAATATTGGCATATATCAAAATATTTGCTTTGTATGTTGAAAAAATATTTATTTGTTACAAAGCATGTTTACAAAATATCTAGAGGGACATTGTCATTTTCATGTTTGCTGGAAGTTCTAAGGCAATTGTCTGGGATGCGATCTAAACAGTATCATTCATGAAGGGTTGTGGCAACACTGTGAAGTGTACACATAGCCTGAAAGGGGTCGGAAGGAAAATTTGGTGCTCACAGTTACTTTCCAGTGAACTAGAACTCCTGCTGATGAAACAAGACAGTAACTGCAAATGATACCCTAGGGCATTTAATCTCATAATTCCATCTTTCCTAGATCACCATGCTATTTTTAACCCTGAAGACAGAAAAGTAAACAAGCTTCCAGAGTTTTGTGAGGGACTTTAAATGAAATATTTATCGGCCATTCTCTGTGCTTCAAAATATCTTTCAGAAATTTCAGTTCACAGTTTTCTGAGTTATCTCAATACGTAGTAGACACTGAATATTTTGGAGTCATGCTTGTGTTCCCTGGGCTTTCTTAAAAGACATTACAGCTCCACTTAAGAAGTGCGTAGATGCTGCTCCTCACAGACACATCAACTTGAATTCTAACAAGAACTGTGAATGTGGATTTGAGTTAACTAATCTACTAGATACATTTGATTTCAAGGATTCTACAGTGGCAGCAGATGCTTTTCCACGAACTACTAACGTGTCTGATACAAGATTTAAAGGGGTTACTGACGTGCCTGGATGTGTCACATTAGAACTGGGTGCCATGGGTCTATTTGGAATTTTAGCCATGACCCATCACCTTCATTCGCAATCGGAGGCAAGAGAGGATGTGCTCTTTCACCTTTGAAAAAGTGAATGCGAACTCTTTCCTGTGACAAGCACAAAATGAACCAGCATCATGGAAAGGGATGCTACAAACATAAAATGGGCCAATACAGAGGATCAGAGGATCGTGAACATATGCAGTCGCGCCACATAGTGAGAAATGGCAAATGCAAATAGTTTTATCAAAAGTCTCAACGTGGCATGTGTTCAGCATCCAAGGAACGGAAAGGGTCATATACGCCACTGTCCCCCATCAGGCAGGTCACAGAGCTCTAAATCCCTACTACGTCATCATCTGCGATACCCCCACGAAAAGGGGTACCGCGAAGCTACCCAGGAGAAGTTGACTTTTTTAAAGTTGATAAGTGCAACGCAATTTCCATTCCTTTAAATTACATTTTAAACAGTACTCCACGCCCCCACCCAAAAACATATACTGTATATTTATATATTTATAATATATATAGTCTTGGACTATAAAGTTGAAAATGTTTTACAAAAGTCAGTGAGAGATCTCCGTAGCTTAAAGATACACTCACTGCTGTACTTGCTCACTTCTTTCTACCACGAAAACTCGGTCTGCAAGCAATAGCTTTGAAGGCTTAAAGCCAGAAGCGGAATCAGACGCCAGGTGAGATGGCAGGTAAATATCGGCCTCTCACTTCTCCTTCCCTTAAGATGCTGGACTGAGGGGAGGAAGGGGAAGAGCAAGGGAGAATGCTTTGGCTATGGAGCAGGAACGCCTTCTAGGGGGCTGGGCAGGTGGGTACAGGAAGGGAAGAACTACACGGCGGGATTCACTCCCCTTCCTCCTTGATGCGCTGCTGCTTGGTGCGGCGGGCATCCATGTCAAAGTTGAAGTCATTCCACTCATCGCGGGGAGGGAAAGAGATGGTTTGGCGGAGGGTGAAGCGCACGGCATCGATGACACGCTCGCCGCGGGTCTCGCTGGAGCCCACGCTGACGGTCGAGGCGCCACTTGGGGTCCGCAGGAGATGGGGAGGTGAGGAGAAGTCGTGGAGCTGCCGGTGGTCCAGGATGCCCTTCCAGATGGCGTGTCGGAACTGCTCAGGAATCTTCAGACTTGCCAAATCCTGTGCCACAGGGAGAGAGCATCGGGAGGGTTAGCACAAAGGCACAAATGGACTTTTGTGCCCTACTGTTTTACCACGTCCCTCCGTGTTCCAGTTAACTTGATTGAATTTATAGACCCCTGCCCTGGGAAATAAAATTAGCTTTTTGATAGTCTTCATATCTGTAGGAAAAGAAACATGAAGGCACACATGCGAGGGGTCAGCTCCAGCTAGTGGATAATTATTCACTTATTTTTCCTTCTGGGTTTTATTTTGTTCATTGACAAAATAGTGATAGTACTTCTCTTCTACAAGAGGGAAAAATGTCAAACAAAAACATAAAGTACTTTCTGACTCTTAAATCGGCCTGGCTCTAGTCAGCAGAAGAAAAGTCTCAATAGAATGTCACTGTCACTGGGGTGTGGACATGAGAGGCTCTCTCACTACTGGAGACTGAGTGCTTTCTATATCCCAGGTATGGAATAATTCATTTTATATTCATGATCTCATTTAATCTTCAAATTAATGGCAGGTATTGTCATGCCTGTTGTATAGGTAGAAAAATGGAAGGTGAGAGAGTTTTACAAGGCGAGTTATACAGCTGGGTGTGGTGGCATTTGCCTATAACCCCAGCACTCAGGAGGCTGAGGCAGGAGAATCAAGGCCAGCTTGAGTTTACATAGTGAGTTTAACGCCAGCCTGAACTGAACTGCATAGCAACATCCTGTCTCAACAACCACAACAACAACAACAAAAAAAAAAAAGGAAAGAAACGAAAGAGTAAAGTTATTCAAAGTGGTGGGAAAAAACTGTGGATCTAGGACAGAGCCTCTGAACCTGAATTCGATCAACTGGCCAAAAAGGGTCTTGACACTGGCATCAAAGTTCAGAACAACTGTGCCCACATTCTCCGGGTGGAGACAGACAACACTTCATCATTTGAAATGGGGTCAAGCTTAACAGGACACAGTGGCATTGCTTTATCTCCACTAGTTTGTCTCAGTGACAGCTCACATAGTTCACAGAAGACAGGGTGGGGAGAAGGCGCCCTGTGCTTGGAGTCAGTGGACCTTGGCAGAGGTTCTTATTCTCCCATAGAACTCGAGCAAGTCTAGCCTATTCTTTGGACGGTAAAACTGCATACAATTGCTTTTTTAGTTCGATGTGTACTATGGATGCCTAGGTAAATGTGGTTGTTAAAGGCAAATGTGCTTTTTAGTATAAATTATAAAACATACCAGATAAGTGTGAGCCATTGATACAATCACCACATTATTGTCTCAGCTTTTCTTCTTACAAAGGCTACTAACAAAGACCCTCCCCAACTGAAGCTCGTTCCTCTTCAAGGAAGGGATGCCGAGTTACTCAGACTGGTGCTAACGGACAAGTGAAGGAGTAGGTGCCCATTTCCGAAACACTGATGTGAAGATGAGAAAAATCTGTGGCTTTCCAACATTTTCCAGTGCAGAAATTTGCAATGTGGTGTTAATAGTCCCCATGCTGTGCATTTTCAGGCCATTAAAGGTTCTCTACCCTCCTACTGCAGCAGAAAGATCGCTGTGACAAACGTCATACACACACGGCTAAATTAGCATGCTTTTCATGCTTCTTGTGCTCGTTAATACTTCTGAGGCTTCTCAATAACCCCAGAGCTCTTTGTAAGCTAGACTCCATCAACTAAGATAAGAAGAGACAGGTTTATGGAGAATACCTGCAGATCTTACAGCTTCAGGATCCTCCTGACATACTCTCCAGCGGGGGAGAGCAAGCAAGTAGTAACTAAAAATACGGGGCAGGTACAGATTCCCTTTTCTATTGGGCAGGAACCTTTTACTACAGGAGGCTCTCAGAGCTACAGCAGCTCTGTTGTCTCCAGTGGATGCAAATGATTGTAAAGGTATCTGAATCTCACTCACCCTATCGTTTGTGTGTGTGATGCAGCAACCAAGGGTGACTTACGGGGTGGTGAGGGGAGGAGAGAAGGGAAGAAGAGTGTACACTTTGCCCCACAGGGCTGGGGCTGTCATATGCTCAGGGACATCTCTAGCATCGGTGCTCAAGGAGGGGATTAGAAACAGCAGCAGAGGCAGAGACAATCTTTCCAACATGCCCCACTGGAAGCCAGAAGAGAAGAGAGTGGACCCCAAAGAAAGCAGTATCTAAATAGCCTGGGAGAAAAGTTAGATGGCTGGAAACCAGAATATTAGCTCCCTTGTGAGCAGTAGTTCAAAAACAGGGTAGGAAGCAAGAGATAGATCTCTTGCATTGAGCTTGCCAAAAACAATTCACAGCCAGCAGGAGAGATTTTTGAATCCGGTTTGATAAATTAAAGCCCAAAGAGGCAAAGTTATAACCTCAAATGTTGATTATCACTAAAGACATGGATAGGGCTTCAACCTGTGGCTAGTTACCATTCCCAATGCTCATGGGTGGCTGGGCCTTATTCTGATAGAACTGAAAAATGAACAAAGAAACATATAGTTTTAATTGAAAGGAAAGGCTGAATGCCCCTTAATAAAGTCCTATTTTAACAAGAGGCAGGAAAACCAAACAGGCTATAAACTAACAGCTTATACACCATCCTCCCCTCACTACGGAAAATGAGTTGTGAGAATAATACCTTTCTTTCTGCTATCCTCATTTGGAGCATAGGCAGATGAACGAGAACATTCAGATGGTTCTCTGAATTCTTTGAGATTACTCATTTATTTTTACTTTAATTTATTTGATTTCATTGAATTATTTTTGTTGTGATGGTATGTCACTCTGTTGCCCAGTCTGGTCTCAAAACACTTGAGCCAAAGGGAGTCTCCTGCCTCCATCTCCCGTGTGCGGAGACTGGAGAATGGTGCCATGATACCTGGTTTGAGATTATTTATGATGGTGGGAGCTAGCTCTCTTCTCACCGGCTTTACCTATAGCATGGATGCAACCAGCATGTGTTAACTGAGCGCTGAGCTTCTTTAGGTGTATAGGGTGCAGCATGGAAATCTTTCTATCAGGCTTATGGCTTCCATTAGAACTGAAGATTAGGGGCATGACAAAAAACAGATTCTCCAACTCTGGGGGACTGAACTACAAGGTGTATGTCACGAAAGGGGGAGAAAATGAAAAATAAAACTCAAAAGTCTAACAGTTACTTACATCCATGGAGTAATGCTCAATCTGATAGATGGTGGTCAGCCCCTGGGTCGTGAAATAGTCCAGACATGATGAACAGCCCAACCTTGCTAAGAAACTGCAGAGGGAGGAGGGAAGAGGAAGGAAGAAACAGAAAGTTCACCCCAACGGCATTGGCGAGATAAAGGAAAACCCAACATTTTGCCCTTAGATGCCCTATGTGAGAGACTAGGAACAGATAAAATATACATGGGCTTTAGACTTGAGGGTGAGGGGTAAGTAGATAATCTGACCTTTAGGTTTATAGAAAACAAAGTAGGCTTTAGGGGATTCCAGCAGATCACTGTTTTCAACGGTGATCTGCAGTATTCTTGGGTTGTGTGTAAATGCCTTAGGAGCCGTTGCGGGGGGTGAAAAGAAAGGATCAAGGGTTTTTTTTTTTTTTTAGTGCCCTGGCCCCTCCCTGAAAAATGAGCATCTCTGGTTACTGTTTTGCATTAGGGGGTTTCTGAGAACGGGGCATTTGGTTCAAAATATCATAGGCCACTACTGCTAGCAGCCGTCACTACTTTCTGATTCATATCCAACGCCTATCTTCACTTTGGTGATGCTGGCCTGTGACTAAGGGTGCCGCCTCAATGCAAGGCCAACCCCTAGGTGCCGTGAACCGTGCCCTCTGCCATCTCCAGGACTGACACATGGGGAATGACATGTAACACTCGGAGGAATGCTCTGCACGTAAAACCAAAATGTCAGGGCTGCAGGGAGCACGTGGGGATTTGCCTCTGTGGGAAACAGATCCTGCAGGCTCATGTGTTTGCATCTGTGGCCTGTCTGCACTTCCTCATCTGGATGGTATACATTCCTCATAGGCAGAGCAGTAGAGGCCACTGGCTTCTTGAAATGATCTCATTTGTGCTAATATTTAAATTTTTGTGTGGACATCCAACTCCAAAATAATGGTCTCATGGGGGCTAAGAGCTATGAGGCCTAGAGAGCAGGAAAGGGAGCGAGAGAGCAAGTTCGTTGCCCTTTTGGGAAACCCAACCCTGAGCACCAATCTGAGGGCCACAACTGAGAGTCTAAAAAATGCGAAGGAGTAGGCGGGAGGAAAAGAAGACGGGGGAAACAGGCACGGAACCTGCATGGACATAAAAACATGTAGTCGCAGTCTCCCGTGTTGATTACAATAATCCTCCTTGATTAAAATAAGCCAAACACTGCACAGATCAGAGAGAACAGTGGGTGACCTTCCACCACCCGGCAGCGTTCTTTCCTTTTAAAGTTTGTGTTGACTTTGACAGGATCCGCCCTCCACCACCCAGATGCTGAGGACAAGCCCCAGGAGCACAGGCTCTGCACTCACCTGACAATGCTGCAATCTGTGGGGTACGGAGGTGGGGGGGTGCAGTGGGAGGTGGATGGCATGGAGAGTGGGGGAGGGAGGGCCTGGGTGGGGCTGAGTCCATTCATGTCTCCAGCCATTGGCATGTGGGTGCCCATCATAGGAACTGGACAAAAGCAGGAGGAACAGAGAGGTTAATGCTGTGATCAGGTACCAGCATCCCACTGGTCCGTCTTTCCTGGGTTAGTGGGCTTGAACCCCCAGCTTTGTTTTTTCGTGTCACCTCGCACTGTACCCTTCAAACACCATTCATCCAGTCAAACAGAGTGGATACTAGACTCAAACTAATTGTACACTTCTTGGCCGTTGATCTTTTAGGACAGTCTCTTCCTACCCCTTTCTCTGCTTTTACTCCTCTGTCCAATTGTTCATTTTCCTTTTTTTTTTTTTTTTTTTTGGTACCGGGGATTGAACTCGGGTCCTTGCGCTTGCGAGGCAGGCCACCGAACCGCTGAGCTAAATCCCTGGCCCTCATTTTCTTAATGGCAATATTCTTGTTTGGACTGGCCTTTTCGGGTTACATTTCTGTCTCCCTCACTATACTAATCTCCATATGCACAGTGATTAGTTCTTAAACGTGGTTTGCTCTTTCCAGACCTAACACAGTCAGATGCTTGGTAAACTTAGGTTGGGTGAGCAAATGAACAAACTGAGAATAAGCTTTGGAATGTATATTTGGAAGCAGAAGGACTTACTGCAATATTTCTAGGGAATGTTGCTTAGCAAAGAAAGTATAATGGAAAATTCTAATTTTTCTTGTGATCCACATTGGCATTCTGTACAGGAATACCAATAATACTCACTGGTATTTATTAAACCATGAATGATAAGCTACTATAGAGAAGAAAAGCTTAATATTAATAATATTTATAAAACTATTTTTACCTTCAGGTCAAGAAAAAATTATATATTTATAGAAAGATGAATGTGATTCATCTTTGCGTTATTAAACAGAAGTGTGCCCTATCACTCTATCACTAACCTACTCAGAACATAATCCAGTTACACTTTTGTCTGCTTCCCTTCTTATTGCCCTGGATACATTAAAGGATAATTATAAATTATAAAGGAAAAGTAGGAAAACTAGAAGTCACATAAATGTGAAACATCATTACTTTTACTGCCAATATGTAGCCATGCCAAGAAGCAAGTTGGGACACTTAAAATATCACAAGAAAAAAAAGAAAGGGGGGAGGGAGAAAGAAAGAGAAAGAGAGATGAAGGAAGGAAGGAAGGAAGGAAGGAAGGAAGGAAAGAAAGAAAGAAAGAAAGAAAGAAAGAAAGAAAGAAAGAAAGAAAGAAAGAAAGAAAGAAAGGGAAAGGGGTCAAGCTTATTTTCATTCTCAAGGTACCAAATCTGTCAGGGGTCAGGTTTTGAAACTTAGGATCTTCTTATCACTCAGGGTAGGGAACTCTGCTCTAAAGATGTTGTTGCCAGATCAGGCAGCCCTACCACATTCATCTCTAGTTTCCTGAAATATGTTTTCTTTTCTTTTTTTGATACTGGGGATCAAACTCAGGACCTTGTGCTTGGGAGGCAGGCGCGGTGCCACTGAGCTACATCCCTGGGCCTTCGTTTCCTGAAATACGAACATGTGCCATCAAATCACAGAGCAACAATCCTAGCCTCCCGTTAATTCTTTCAGAAAACCCAGAAGCTCTTGAAAGTAATACTTGCAGTCTTGTGTATACCAGAAGATAGTGTATGTCTATCTTTCTGCATTTTTACCACCCTTTCTTTCAAGTTTGTGCACCCACTTTGGATACCGACTTCTGGCAGATACGACCAATATATTTATATCAAAGGTGTACACCAAGCGCCATTCATCTGGAGCAATTCCTGCATCGTCTTTTACATTGTCACTTAGTGCGAGGAATTTGTGTGTGGATCAGCAGACATCGGACCCTTTTGTGCACCCGATTCCCTCACTCGTGTGGAACAGACCAGATGAGCTGAAACTCTACGACTGTCAGGACACAGCCTCGTAACCCGTTTACCACGTACAGGGATCATTTTAATGGGCGGACGTGTGAGCACGAGAGCAGAGAAGTGACGTGTCCGTAATTCCACAACTAGCTTTTTTAACAGCGCCCAGATCAGAATCCATGTCTTACATTTTTAAGTCCACCCACTTCCCTCATGTTTCACACGTTTTCAGTCGACTCTCTTGCCTCTATCCGGCTGGCAGGAAATAATCCCCTCACAAAGATCCTTGTTTCTCCTGAAGCAACAGACTCCGCCGTCTCCACTCGTGTTGTTTGGAATAAAACATACACTTCGAGAGCGAGTGGTTGACTCTGAGAAAGCAAGTTCCTCGACTTTGATCTGATCTGTCCCACTGTGCTTCTTACTTGGCTTAGAAAAAAGCCTAGCCCCGTCCCCGAGCAGTCTTCTCCCGTACGAGACTGCTGCTCTTTTAGCTTTGGTAAGGGGAGATGTGCTTACTGCTGGCTCCCATGCCATCCGGAATGGTGGTGGGAGTCAGGGCGTTGCGCTGCTGAGGGTTGATGAGCTGGCTCACTGAAGGCAGCTTGTTCATGTTGTTCATTTTGTTCAGAGGCGGGGAGCTGTTGCCGTAAGAAGCCTGAGACTGCATGGAGGTCCTAGGAACACAAAGATGGAAGTGACGGTCAGCATGGGGCACTGGAGAGTGGGATGGGTCCCTTCTAATAGGTCTCAGATTAATGCCTGGCCTCAATCCATATATTCGCAACATGCTCCTCCAGCATTAATTAGAAGGAGTTGTTTGTGCTTCAGTCTGAGAAGATTTCCTTACCAAGAAAGGATTGCAAAGCGATCACCAGGTCATATTCCCGAATGTTTAGAGCACACAGTTTTAATATCTTTCTCGAGAATCTCCTCGATGCAAAGGACAATAACTGCACCCTCCTTTTTCTTCTATTGTTTTCTCCATCCTGTGCCTCTCTCTCGCTCTTCAACTCAAGTAAGTTTGAAAAATGGGAAAGGACAGGAACTAAGCAAAGACTCAAAGGCCATTGAAAGGTGTGGAACAGCCCAGCTCTCATGTAGCACAGGCTCCAAGTTGGACTTGTGCTCTGTCTTGTCTGGGATGTTCATGGACATGAGAGGAGCCACACAACACCAACAGCCTTTCTACACAGGAGAACCCAGGAGCCCACGTGACTGTTCTGCTGACCTCCTGTCTACAAATCTCCTGGGAAAGATGGGACAAAAAGAAAGAAGTAAAAAATATTTTTCATTCAGCATAACCTTCCGTTTGGAAATTTATTAGCATTGCTTTGTTGTGTTTTGCACGATATTGTAGATGACTTTTCTCTAATTGGCTGATGTTCCTTTTCCTCTTGATATAAAACTAGGGTGGTGCATTAAAATGAGGGCCAGATCATCAGAACGGAAGCTCCCCTCCAGGATACATTAGGAAGCCAGGGCTCTCTGTTCAAGATGCTTAACACTGCTTTTGTTTTCTCAAGAGAAGCTATGTAGCCTATAGCTATGTACTCTCACTGTCTGTATTAGATGTTAGGACCAGGAAAAATGCAAAGAAATGATGCATTCTTTGAGATGCTCAGAGACAAGCACCCATAAAGAGCATAGTAATCTACCCTACCCTGAAAGGCTATGGTGAGAACGGGAAAGGAGGAGTAATTTTAATCTGGAGCATTTACGGTAAGTCATTATTCTGACCATGGAATGAAGACTTGACTTTAAGCACGTTCCTGATCTTGGCCAAGAAAAGCTCCCCTTTTTCATTCCTCCAACAAAATTTACTGTTATATTACCATTTGCCTCCTTCCTGCTGAGGGCATATTCACATTAAAGGACGGATTCATGTCCTTGGGTTTTGTTTTGACATATACGTGATGCAAATTTTGGAGACTCTGCAAGGGAACTCATCTTGCAAACAAACATGAAGCGATGCTTTACTGCAGTAAGTGCTTGAGGGGGACAGGAGGTGGCCCTTGGGAATACCAACCTGCACGCTCCATAATTTCCTGGAATGAGAAAAGCCTCTAGTCCTTATCACTGAAGAGCCACATCCAGGACACTGTAAGCACTGTGAGGTATATTCATCTGCGCAAATTAGCATGAGCATGTAAAGTCAACAAATGCACATCTTTATATAATCCCTGCTGCGTCTAAGGTAAGGGGACATTTATTTTTCTCTTAAAGCTTTCACACGTACTCAAAGTAGAGATTCAAACTGTATAAACAGCTATTTATATCATAAGTCCTATCAGCCGTTTAACACTCCAGGACACCCAGCTTCCTTCCATCCTGTTCCATGTTTTGAAAGATATTGACAGTTTTCCTGTGAAAAATGTTACGGCATGGCAGGACACACATGGGCAGAAATTATTATTATTATTATAGAGGTGACTCTATGTCAGGCTACAAGAAAAAAAGACCTCTGTCTTCTGGAACCGAGTCCAGGAATTTTTTCTCTCCTTCTGTTATACTTATTTAGTAGTAAGACACTAGTGGGCAACAGGTTAAAGGATCAGGAAATAGGTGAAGTGGTTAGCAAAATGTGGGCTACCGAGATAGCCAAGGAACAGTAACTACAGTAAAAGGAGCCACTCCAGCATCTACCAAGCACTTCCTACTTTATGCTTTATTCTTGAGAAGGAACTTGTTAAGGGGGAAAAAAAGAGACAGGACATTTAGATCTGCTTAGAAGCATCTATAAGCTCCTGCAGGCAGGAGTGCATGGAGCAGGGCAGTGAAGAGATGCTTTGGTGGCTCCTGTTTCTCAGCTGTCTTTGCCCACTATAAGTAGTTCATATTCCAGAAGCAGGTTATCGTCTTATCTAAAGATATTTCCACCTGTCTTCCTCATTTTTCCAAACCAGGAGAATTCAGCAAGAGTTTGTGGAAACAGTTTAAACCTTTAATGACCATAACTAAAAAAAAACATTAAATATATGTGTATGTATGTATGTGTGTGTGTATATGTATGTATGTATGTATGTATATGTTTACAAGCTTTGCATTTGAAGCCCAGCTGTATTCAGTGCCTTCTGCATTTTATTACAATTTCCTTTCGCTTGTGGTCATTGTTTTTGACAGTTGTATTAGAACATCTATTATTGTTTATTACTGTGACTATTTTACTAGTTCATCCGTTACAACAAAATCCACCTCATTTGAGGAAGGTAAGTCCAAAAGCACAGGTGACCAGGGAAGAACACAGATTTCTGAGTCAATCAAAATATCTAGGTCATCTTCTGCATCTAATTTAGTGCCTTTGGATGTCATGCAAGTCCCCCTTGTGTCTCATTCTCTTTATCTTTAAATCAGGCATTATTCCCACTTTGGATGGGTCACTATGGGCACTAGATGAGGTCAATGAACAGCCCAGCATATTGTGCAGTGATGTGTAGGTACCCAAGGACACTGGGTCTTCTTACTCTTCCCCTCCAAAGAACTTCCCCGTGCAGTGTTTGTTGAAGGAGATGGAAGATACCGATTTAGCTAGGAACTGGAAAAAATACCCAGAGACATGGATTCTTATATGAGCAAATGCAGACATTAAAGGTGAACAAATCCTTCGTGTAACAGTCGCAAAAGGTCAGGGATTCCGAATGCATCCCGGAAATGACTTCTAAAGCTACAAACAGTCAGAGGAGGACAGCATGTTTGTTCATGGGTCTTCAATATCTGAAATATGAAGAATACGCCAGTCACCACTACTAACTAAAATCACGGCCCATTCATGAATGCCTGGCCTTGACGAACAGCCATATTTTTTGCCCTTACAAATATAATGACCCCGTACCTGAGTAAATAAAGAGAAGAAAATAATGCTCAAGGAAAGAGAAGAAATAGTCAGTTTGTTTTTGTTGTTTTAATATGGGGTCTCACTGTGTAGTCCAGGCTGTCCTTGAACTCACAGTGATCCTCCTATGGCAGCCTCTCCAGTTCTGGGAACACAGGCTTACACCACCACCCCACTGAAAGGTCTGGTCTTCTTATCTCATCCTCCTCCCAACCTTCCGCCAACCAAAAGCCAAAATACCAAAAAATGTGAAAACAGTTCTTCTCAGGGCAAATAACAAGGTTTGTGTCTGAGGCTGTTTACTCTGGAGTTTAGCTAGATTTTTCTAGGAACTCGATGTAACAAAATAGAGAAAGGAATGTCTCAAGTATTTCTATCTAGTTTTTCAGAATTAGCCCCCAGTGGAGCTGAGTGCTTCACTCTAACAATGTAGGCTTCTGTGGACGCACGACAACTAAAACACAGAGTTTCAGAGCTGGAAGTGGCTTCAGAAGACACAGAAAGGGGCATCAGGTTTCCTGATCCCAAGTCTATGGACTATGTGGTAAGTGTCAAAATTCCTGAAACGATTCTTCTCTACTGTCTTCAAGGGGCCTTCAGATCTTCCTTTGCTAATTAAAAAATCAACCCTTTCATAGAGTTTGGGTCCACTTCAGTCTAATTATATTCCACCAAACCACCTCTGTGAGAATGTGGGAAGACAAAGAGACACTAAGAAGATAGTAGAACATCCCTGGCATGAGAAATGTTAAAAAAAAAAAAAAAAAAAAAAAAGTAGTGTGATTTGGAGTTGGTGAGACATGGAATGTGAGGAAAGGAATTGCACCTTTCCTCAGTGCTTCCCAGGGCATCCCTGCCTGTGACCTTTCTTTCCAGTCGAATAATCTTTCTTCCAAAAACAAATGGGAAAAAATTGAGACATGTTACGTACATGCAACAACTAATAAACACAACTCTAGTCTGGGTGACCCAGGAAGAAATTCATAGGATTAAGGAATTGTCCTATTTTTTTTGTCAATTTAGTGTTAGGCATTTTAATATTTCAGACTGATGATCTTGATCTTGGTATAGAGTATCTTAAATAAACACCAAATACTGAGAGAAGAAATAAAAACAGGACTAAAGTGACAGTTCTATTACTCCTCTTTAGACCTACCTGTGATACTTCAAACAGTTCTATTAGAATATTCTAGTATTTACGGGGAAAAAAAGCAAGAGAGACAGAAACAAAAACTGCAAGATAAACCAAGATGCAAAAGTTTATTGAAAATTAAAATCACACATCCATAAAGCAACAGCCTCAATAACAAGATATCATTGCCTGGGTGATACAGAACAAAGTGCTGGTTACCTGTTGTGGAAAGATGGGGGGATGACCTTTTTATGTTTTCAAGGTGGAAAAATATCATATTCTCTCACCTCTTTGAGTCAGGAAGAAAAAAAAAATCATCCACTTTCTCTACCTGTCATTTCTACTCCAAGAGAATTGATTTTAACCCATGTCTGCTTATTCAGAATTTAAAGCACTGTCTCCCGAATAAATGCTTTGGAACAATATTAACTGTTTGGCTGGTTTTTAGGATAGGCAGAATCGAGGACTAGCAGCTTCAATAAAACAAATTAATCACAGATTTGGTGAGAAGATTCTGAACTCCATTTTGAGCACTGAGTAACGGCAAACAAGTACTTGGGGCAATATTGTCCAATTAAAATCAAAACCCAAGTTTACCTGTCTCGGGGACTAAACAACAGTTTTAGGGGTGGATCTCCTGGGTTTCATTTGCAAAATCTATCATGTCAGATGTTGATTTAGGGTGGCAGAGATAACATCTGATACAACATTAA